GGGAGAGGCTGAGGGTGAGGAGGACTCGCCGAGGGGGAGGGGGAGAGGCTGAGGGTGAGGAGGACTCGCCGAGGGGGAGAGGCTGAGGGTGAGGAGGACTCACCGAGGGGGAGAGGTCCTCATCATACTTCTTCAGCTGGTTCATGAACTCCAGGTGCTTCTTCTCCTCCTCCAGCTGTGCCACGCTCTGCTCACTGTGCTGCAGCTTCTGCTGCGTTCCTGCCAGCTCATCACGAAGCCACTGGTTCTCCTGGCACAGGCGCTTCACCTGCGCCCTCAGCTTCTGCTTCTCCGACTCCACTGTGCTCAGGTGGCCCGACAACGCCATCATCACCTGGGGGTCAGGGGGCAAGCAACAGAAACAAAGTAGGTGAAGAGCGGGGTAACAGACCAAAACCAAGCCAAAAAAGGTAACAGTTTTGCAAGTTTCTGGAGGTGAACTGTAACTAGCAAACTCAGCTCCTATTTAAACCCTCCTCTGTTTCTTAGAGCTGTTTCCCCCAATCCGGTCCTTGAGGACCCACATTCGGTTCATGTTTTTGCTCCCTCCCAGCTCCCTGCCAGACAATCCACATTTTTGCTCCCTCTCAGCTCTCCACTGGGAAGCTGAGAGGAAGCAAAAATGTGGAATGTCTGTGGTTCCCTGGGAACTGGACTGGGAAACACTGCCTTAAGGTGATCTCAGGCGCCAGATATCATGGCCCCAGCCGCAACCAAAAGTGTTACCCTGGCACTGACCAGGTGGAGTCTCACCTGTGCCTCGCTCAGCCCCAGTTCCAACATCTCCAGGGACTTGCGGATCATCACCGACTTCTCCTCCACCAGACTGCTCTCCTCATCCTGCTTGAGGCATCGGAGCGTCTGGAGCAGGCCATCCAGGATGGAATGGTGCTCCTGCTTGAGGGCGTCCAGGCCCTGGATCACCTGCTTGGTCCTGGAGATGATCTCGTCCTGGGAGAGCTTCTCGTCCAAATCCTCCTTCACACACACCATCGTTGACATGTTCTCATGCATCCTGGGGGACGGAGAAAAAAATACCTACTTAGTCTCCTTTCTCCGAGCGTTAAATTAACACAAGGCGCTGAAGCACATCTGCTTGGTCATTTTCTCAGCAATTACCTCAGGGACTTCATCCTGTCACCAACAGAAATTAAGTTCACGCCGTCGGTTTTATAATCAAAGCATATTTTAAATCGCATCAAAGCAGATTTTGTACAAAGTGAAACAGGCCCTCCTACTACTTCCACTGCAAAAAAAATCGGAGGTTTAAAAAGGGAACAAAAATTAGATAAGCCTGTCCAGGAAAATTTACTCAGCTCATCGTAAATGAGGTACATTCTGCCGGCAGCACCTGCATGTCATCAACAGCACCCTATTGTTGGTGTCGGTGAAAGAAACTTAGGAGACAGACATCTGAATCACAGCAGAAGCAGAAGCTGTACAGGGTCTCTTTCAAGTCAGGTTCAATGCTGGGGCTTAAGCAGACATCACACCTGTCCTTCTGTCCTAACTTTTTCTCAATCCTCTTCACATAAAAAACAATAAGGAAAGCATCATCATCTAAAACTGCACATCCATTGCACAATTCATGACTTTACTTAAAACGTTTAGGTCTTGTTTACCAGTCACATATCTTTCTGTGTTTTTCCACTGTCTTTCTAGATAGCAGCTTATGGCCTGGGGTTAATGCTGCGATCAACGACCTTGTTTGTGGTGTCTTTAGCTCAACATGGGTTGACCTTTTTGCCTAAAATAACACTGCTTTGCTTGCCAGAATAAAAGGGTGCCGTCATTTCAAAGGACCCCTCAAGTTTTCTTCCGGTCTGCATACTGCCACATTTCAGAAAGCATTTTCAGGCCTGAATGCTATAACACTCACTCCCACCAGTGCTATTAAGGCATGTCTATTAAATTAAACCAGGACTGCAGTTTTCAGATAATGGGTTGCTGTACAGAATGCTTATGGCTGTTACTTAGCAATTTATGACCTACCCAGAACCCTCTATACCACCATCCATCCAAATCCAAAATGTAGCCTGATCATCCGCAGGCTCATCACTGTTAAGACCTAATGAATGCTTTCCCGAATGAAGCATGTAGCCAAGGGCAACAGGACCTTGTCCCTTATGTCCCACCACCAGGCAGGGAAATGGGAATCTAATTTTAGGTCATGGGGGCTAAGCTCATTAGAATAGAGGGAAGGAGCTTTAAGGAATACTCTCATTCAATGAACAATGAGCTTGGTAGATGATTCTGGCATGACTTCTGCTCACCCACAATCACCCATCATCTCAGAGCTTGGTCACTGTGAATGAAATGATTACAAGGTCAGTTTCCTTGGCAACACTTTAGCTCTTCTGCTACACGTGAAGTGTTGGAACCCCTTGGTGTATCCCTTAGAGAGACATCGCCCAAGAGCACTATGATGGGATACCCTCTGGCAGAGTAGACACACCTTCGGCATGCGGCAGGAAGGGCGGCACCACAAAAAGAGTGAAAGAAAGAGAGAGAACATTCTAGTCCGTTTGATATTTACGCCTGTGCCCAGGACAGACTTGTCTTGGCAGATTTCCTCACTGTTTGAAAGCACCACAGGGCTTGTCTGGACTTAAACCTTTCAGCACACAGACGGGTAGAAACAGACATGTTTAAAAGGGATCTGAACAGTCCAGATGCATAAAAACCTGAACCATTTCTGGTAACTTTCCTCAGGTTTAATTTAATTTATATTACATTTCTTTAGCGGATGCTTTTATCTAAAGCAACGTACATTTGAGACAGCAGGGTGAGCAGAACCAGAAGCAACTAGGAGTCTTGCTCAAGATTAGAAAAATGAAATTTGCTTTGCAGAGCATGAGACACAAAGCGGCGACATTCTGAGCACAGGCTCAGTGCCCTAACCCACTAATCCACCTCCAGTGATACATCAACACAATACCTTGCGTCTTTAATGTGCGAAACCATTACACTCTACAGTAACCTTTCCATACTGCAGTAATTTTTAGGAATTGCTGCAAAAATCACACACAATCAAGTGATCGTTAAGATTAGGCGGAATGCCAACATCCAGGGTAGCTGCCAAAAAAACAAAACCCAACCAGTTTGAAAGCAACGGTCCACTCTTTCCGTCCTTCTCAGGGTTTAAACGGAAGGCTGTCACCTTCTAATGAATGATGCTTCCACAGGATTACTACATGCTAAACCCTTGCCCAGTGGATTGTTCCCGAGGGCTGCTCTGCACAGGCCCTAAATCTACTCCAAACATAATATGGAGACTTCAGAAACACACCGAAAATTTTGGACGACGGACCACCAGAATAGGCAAAAGCAACGCAAGTGTTATCTGTTCATGTTTGTAAAATTATTAGTAAGAAAAGCTTTAATATTTTTGTCCTTGTAGCTCCTAAATATGCTCATTATTAAAGCCATAAAGTTGTCTGCCTGCTACCTTAGAATCTACATTGAGTATGTGTTTGAGAAAAGGTTTAGGCTTAAAATCTGGGTTTATTCTGCGTGGACTGACAGTGCTGTTGAGTGTGTTTGTGCATGATGGGCTTGTTTAATCAGCTAGAAGCAGCACCAACCTCTTTACCTAGTTTATCCACAATATCTCGTCTTTTAGAAGATGCTGCGGCTGTTGTGCCCCTTTCCTGACTTCAGTGCTTATCACTTCCATGATTTACCAAAACAATGGCACGTGGCTCGCTCCGCTAACTGAATTTAATAACAAAAAGGATAACGTCGAATTCATAGAGATTACCAACTTTTGGGCTTCACAATACGCACCTCATTAATAATGTGGGTGAAAATAATGTCCGTATAGTGCCAAAAAGTCAGCATCCATTATCTAAAGCTTATTTATAAAGGTTATTGTTGTCAAAATGAAATTATCTTAAACGGGCTTGATTTTCTGGAGGAAAATTATTTTATTTTTTTTATTTATATATATATATATTTTTTATTGCCCACCCCCACCCCCCCTCTTCGGAGGACAACTTTATTTTACATTACATTCAAGAGCAAAGAGTGTGGCCGCTCCGAACTCACCAGTACCGCGGAAAAAGGGAAAAAAAAAGAAAAACAGGGGGGGGATACAGAAACAACAAGCGTAACAATAACAGACATCAATCAACATGGGGAGAGGGGGAGAGAGAAAAAAAAAAAAGGTATACAAAAATAATAACACTAATAATGTAGGTGGGATGGAAAAAATTAAGTATAGGGGAATACAGAATACAAACAAGCATAAGAAACATGATTAAACAACAAGAATTATGACAACATCAGTGATAATAATAATAATTAATAATGTGACAAATCGGGAGTATATATATGTA